TATAATTTATATCCCAAATTACATTTCAAATATATGCAATTTTATACTGTCACACAATGTATAAATTAGCTCTGTGCCACACTCATGCTAATTTCAATTATGGTCATTTAAGAATGTCTTTAGAAATTTGATAGAAGAATTATATTCAGTGGTTTTAGTTTGAATTTAATTGATGAGCAGTTTAAGAGAATTATCTTATCTTATTCATCTTGGTAGTTCCAGTAACTTGCACAGTGCATGATACAAAGTGGGCATTGAATATATGCCTGTTAAATAAATACATTAATAAAGAATTATTCATTTTAGTGTTTTCTTATTAATTTTATCAGTTGATGATGGGATAAACTGTTATCCCTTGTTAGTAATAATTACTGTAAATTTCTCCCAGTTTATCATTCCAAGTTGATGACTTTTTTAACACATGGGATTTTAAATCTTATATATCAAGTCTGTTAATCTTATCTTTTTGTTTTCTTAATTATATTAGAGGTTTAATAAGTAGTCCTTTCTACTTTTTGCTAGTTTTCCTATGACCTGATGGGTTTCTTCTATATTAATTCATATAAAAATTACTTTAGTGACATTTAAACACAATGTTTAAAAAAATATAGGGCATCACCTTTCATGTATGATTTATTTCTGAAAGTGGGTTTGAAAGTTGAATGTGTCAAAGCAGAACTTCCATTTCCTAATTATGCCTTCCCTCCGTCCAGCCACCAGCAGACAGGTAGCAACCTTCACAGGTGTGCCAGGCAGCACCAGAGAGGTCTGCCATCAACTCCGTTCGCCTAAATCCTGGATTGGTTGGATTAGGCAACTCCTCTTACCACATATTTTCCATCACCTTCCCCACTCTCATATCAAAGGGGTTGTTTATAAAGCTAAAGATATGAAAATCTAAAAGCATCTTATTATGACACCAAAAAATACCAATGAATTTGGAAATGGTATTATATATGGCTCATATAATAAACAAAATTATTTCAAAGTTTAGGGATATTTACAACCTGGCATATTTAGATCAGAATATAAATTTTAAAATAATCAATTGATTCTACTGTCAAAATGTCTCCTGTATAGAACTTTAATGCCTATGGTGTGTGGCAAGAATTCACAAGACAGGGGATCTCTGTTAGCTTGAGAGCTATATAATCACTGCTGTAGAGACACTTCCGTTAGTGAATAAATAATGAAGCTTTACCAGAAAAGATGCAGTTCACAGAAATACTGAACAAAATACAAAGCTAAGAGTACTCCTCCAGTTAAATGGGAATTTTCATATTTTATAAAAGTTTAAAAAAGAGATGATATGGGTTAGAATCAGACATGTAATTATTTTTAGCAAATATTTTCCAGAAACTTTAAAAGTGAGATCCTGTTACACTTGTCCACTTTTGAGTTCATTCTCAATGGCAGAGAGAACTGGAAAGTAGATGTGCATTATTTTCTCAAATTTGCCCGGATAACCCTTTCTACTATTCTGTTCAATGATGCTTGTTCTAAAGAATGTTACACAAACACTCCCCTACATGTTTAAGGATACATAAATTAAAATGTTTCTCATTATGGATATTTAGAAACTCTTGGAGATCCATCAAAGGAGAGAAGTAACATAAAGATGGCATCTCTACATTGGCATTAGACAATGAGGTTGATCAGTACAAACTAACACGGTATAGGGCTAAGTAATAAGGCAATTTTGAGGATAGAATCAATTCATTGTTTTAAAATTTATATTCCGATGTAATTGGGCCTAGTTGTAAATATCCCTAAACTTTGAAATAATTTTGCTTATTCTACGAGCCACATATAATATCAATCACTTTTCAAATTTATTGGTATCTTTGATATCATAATATAATTTTTTTGTATAGTTTTCATTGCAAATATGCTCTTCACAAAAACATTCTGTCTTCAAATGTACAGAAGATAAAATCCCAGGCCGATGACTTTGCAGTTTCATTTCTGTAACAAACTTCCTGTTGAGTGGAACAATCACAAATACTGGTTATTAAAAATGTAAAACCATTCTAGAATGAGGGTAAGGAAAATGCTGAAATATTTCAAGTTGTCCGGGATATTTACTACTTGAAGTAAATAAGAAGTCACGGTCTAGAACTGTATTTTAGTGACTGGTGTTGGCTAATAATAAAAATAATAGGTGTTGGAAGTCCAATCTATCACATTCTTCTTCCCTGCTTCTCTGAGGTCGCTAACCTTCCAGAGCTGGGATTTGAAGGTTTGTGCTCTGAACCTCTGTGCTTGCTTCCTCTCAGGGCCCTGAGCGCTACCACTCCTGTGCTGCCTGACCACAGGAAGAACCAGCTGGGCCGCAGTCTGACAAGCCTTATGAAGCTTCTGAGGGAGCCTCTGGCTGAAGTGCTGAGCAGAGCAGTATTCTACAAATTAGCTGCCTTCACACCTGCTCATTAACGAGTGCTCACCCTTCCGTGTAGAATCTTTTAAATAAACAGACATTTTGGTATTTATGAAAACGGAAAGAGCCCTGGACGGTTTTGCTCAGTAGGTAGAGTGTCAACTTGTGAACTGAAAGGTCCCAGGTTTGATTCCAGTCAAGGGCACATGCCCGGGTTGTGATCACATGCTCGATCCCCAGTGAGTGATTTGCAGGAGGCAGCCTATCCACCATGATTCTCTCTCATCATGGATGTTTCTATCTCTCCCTTCCTATCTGAAATCAGTAAATAAAAAAAAAAATATTTTAAAAAACTTTAAATATATATATTTTTAAAAATAAACAAAACGATTACCTACAGCAGAGACCATAAAACCATCACAAGGGTAAGTGCAGTTCTCTATTTTAATGAACAGTATCAAGATAGTTTAACAAATGACCTAAACATGGCAAATTAACTTTAAAAACATAATAATTACAAAAGAATTCAGTAATAAAGATGAATAAAATACGTATCAAAATTTTCTAATTGCCCAGCCAGTGTGGCTCAGTGGTTGAGTGTTGACCATGCACCAGGAGGTAATCAGTTCGATTCCTAGTCAGGGTAGTACATACCAGGGTTGTAGGCTGACCCCAGTAGGGGTTGTGCAACCAATCGATATTTCTCTCTCATCGATATTTCTATCTGTCATTCCTCTCCCTTCCTCTCCCTCTAAAATCAATAAAAACATATTTTTAAAAATTTTTAATTACTAAAAGTAGAAACAATAAGCTTGTTGAAATATTAATTTTTTATAATTGCTTTCTTACCAAAGTTTAATAAAAGTGTAATTATAATAACCTTAAAATAAAGCTAGTTGTTCACTGTGGACGATTTTCCTCAGATCCTGTGTGCAGGGGACAATGGCAATAATGTCTGCAGACACTTTTAAGCATCACAGCTGGGTGCTGTGTGCTTTTGGCATCTAGTGCACAGAGTTCAAGGATGCTGCTACACATCTGACACTATTTAGGACAGTTCCCCACCACAAAGAACAACCTGGCCCCAGAGGTCATTGCCAAGTGTGAGAAATCCTTCTATAAAAATAACAGCCATACCAGTTAGTAGCTAAACCAGAAAATGTACGAAAATTCAGTGTACATTTGAACAAAAAGATGAAAAAGACTATTCTCTTCCAAAATTTAGGGAGAAAACCAGCTGAACTTCAATGAGGGCCTTCCTGATAAAGCTGCATAAATGTCACGTCATGGCTTGCCATCATCAGCGTCATGTTATGCACTGATTTATAGGACTGAAGGCCCTCCTTCCTAAAGCTTTTACACTCAGTGCTTTGACTCTGCTCTCCAAACCCAAATAACTTTTACAGACTATGCCAGCAGGGAAACTAAGGTACGCACATCAAAGAATTTAAAGTAGGAATTGATAAATATTGGCATTTCATGTAATAACTCCGAAGAACAGCCTAAGTATATGGACCAACGCTCCTTTCTTCCCATAGTCCCTCTCTGGTGGTCAGTGAGGGAAAGCACGCTGTCACAGACTCTGTGTGGTTAGGTTTAGCTCAGGGCCAGTTTTACGATGAGTTATATATAAGCCCACTGAAGTGGAGGTCCTATCAGAAGCCCTTACACTACTAGCTATACCAGTGGGCATTGCCATTCTTAAAAGTGTAAAAAAAATCAATGAGCAGATTGTCATCACAGAAACTCATTCTACATCACACCCATCACCCAGGAGATTGATATTTCATGCTTACAAAACTTAACATGAAATTAAATTGCAAATATTTCCTCATAATCTACTAAAATGATGGCCTAAGGCGATACACTACTAATACGAAGCATTTGTTCAGCTCTAGTGGACATAGTTCCTGTATGATTTATGTGAAAGAGGGCCTCACTTCTTCAGAGATTCGGTAATGAGGTTTCTCTGGTTATTCTAAGCCTGGTTGAGTCTAGAAAGTATAGAAACTTCTCTAAGTTAAACCAGCAAATATAACACTGAATTATTAATAAAGAAGAGTCAAATTAATGAACTGAGTTTTCGTCTTCCTCCTTGTGTACATGACTATTTCATTTTAAACATCAGCCACTCTTTAATTATCCAAACACCGAAAAAGCAACGGAATATTCCGTACAGAAAATACAGCTTCATTCTTTAGGCATAAAGCCAGAGTAATAAATTCCAAGCAAAATAGTAGATGGTGACTGAAAACTAGGAAGATAAAAAATGATTCCAATCATTTCTAAAAGAAAAGTCAGGGATAGAAGGAAGGGGAATTGTGGGACCATGCCTTTGTCTTAATCCATTAGGATGTGAATAACACTGAGCACAGGAGGTATAAGAAAAGATAAAATCGATTCCAGCATTATCAACCCACTGCATCATGAAACTTAAATGTAGCACTTTCTAGCCAGTAATATGCTTGCTTATTACCACGTTTCAGAATACACGAAGAAAAAAATAATGTCTTTATCTGAAACTGTAAAAAATCTATGCAGTTAGCTTTGTGCTGAAATCTTTATCTGACAACTTGAAAAATTACCAGATGTTATACCAAAGTGTAATATGGGCAATTCTTACCTTAAGCATTCAGCATCATTTTGAGGCTTTTCACTGGTTTTTATTTTTTCTGCCTCTAGGCATTTGGTAGTACAAATGGCTTCATTCTTTTTCTCTTCAAAAACTAAACATTTAAGAAAATTCTTAGTCTTTTAAAAATTAAACATAAAGTTTATCTGTACTCATTCATAAGAATAATCCTAATTTTTGCTGCTTCATATAAAATGTGTGTACTAATGATTTTTATTTTCTACTTTAATATAACAATTAAAGGCACAAAAATGGTCTTAACAAAATCTGAGACATTAGAAGTATCTGCTAAACATCTTATATTACGAGGACAATTCTCCAACACAAAGAACATGCTGGCCCCAAATGTCAGCGCTGCCAAGTCTGAGAAACCTCTAGTGGCTCAGTTGGTTGGACCCTTGTCCTATCCACCAAAAGGTTGTGGGTTCTAGTCCCAGTCAGGGCTCATGCCTAAGTTGCAGAGTTGATCTCTGGTGATGTCTGCGGGAGGCAATTAATATTTCTCTTTCTCTCTCTCTTTCTCTCTCTCTCTCTCTCTCTCTCTCTCTCTCTCTCTCACAAAAACTATTACAAAAATTTGATCTAACTGATTAATTCAGTGTTTTATCTATTTCTTTCTGTATACCAATAATAGCACTATATCCCAATAGGTTGACACATTTTGAAAGAATAATATGACCCTATCTTTTGTATACGAATATACTCATTGGCAAAATAAGCGAACACATAGAGGTCTGACCTTTAAGGTTTCTCTGCAGAGTAAACAGTTCCTGCATTAATTCACTCTTTTGTTTCTGAAGTTCCTTTAACTGGCCACTGTCATGTTCCATCGACTGCATTTCTAGAAAAAAAATAAACAAGAAACATTATTTTAATTACTTGGGCTTTGCCGTAAATGTCAGCACTTCCTAACTTTTTCTGCTAGAGTAAAAATTTAAGCAGCATATCGTCAATTTTAAGTCTGGGATGGCCTTCTTGGCCACCTACAAACTATTTCTAGCAAACTGACCAGGGTTCTTTTAAGCTCTATTTGGATACAAAATGAATGTTAGTTGATGGTCAGTCTACTAACAGAGAATTCAAAATAATGGAATATCACTAAGTAACACCAATTCATCGAAGGGACATAAAGAACACTCCCTCCTTCATAGATAAAGCATATTTAGAGAGACTTTATATAGTATTCAGCACATGGCTGCAAGGTTCCACAGTATTGCTAATGCTGTTTCTTCTACCTGGAATGCCCTCCTCCCCTTATTCCCACAGCAAACTGTTCTATGTTTAAATTTTTATTACAAAAGGGTGTTGAACCTTGTCAAATGCTTTTCTTGTGTCTTTGATTACTGTTATATCTTTCACTTATCTCTTGATTATATCCATGTCTCCGAGTATACTTATAATATTTAAAAGAGCAATTTTAAAGTCTTTCTTTGCTTACTGCGTCCTCTCTGTCATTTATGTGCATGTTTCAATTAACCTGATTTCCTCCTTGCTATGAGTTACAACTTGCTACTGCTCCAAATGTCTAGTGATTTTTTGATTGGATACAAGACAGTTTACTATTTTGTTAAATGTTTGAATTTTGCTGTCTTCCCCTAAACCATGTTGATATTTGTTATTTGGTGGGTGGTTAAATAACTTATGGATCAGGTTCAAACCTTGTTTTTAAGATTTTTTTTTAACAGTGGGTCTAGAATAGCCTTAAACCTAAGGCTGATTTAATCCTACTAAGAAGGCAGGACTCCTGCTTAGTGAGATCTTACTATTCTGACAGCTTGGAACATGAATGACTGTTTTTCCTTATAGGAAAGCACATTGTGGTATCACCAATGCCTATAACAGTGCCTGATACATAAAAAATAAATCATTACTGAATGAATATACTAGGCACATCTTAGAAATACATTGATAAGTGAAACAGACATAATTCCAGTCCTTGTGAAGTTTACACCTTTGTAGGGGAGAGAGTTATGAACCAACTAAATATGTAAGTAATTACAATGCTCGGGGAAAAAAATAGTATAAAGACCATGACAGAACAGAATCAGAATCAGACCTAATTGGGGATAGAGGGGGTCTGTGTCAGAGATGATATTTCCTCTGGCCATACATTTTAGCTGAGGTCAGAAGAATAACCGAATTAAGCAGATAAAGAATAAGAAGAGTATCCCAATAAAGCATATGCAAAGGTCCTGAGGCAGGAGGCCAGGACACAACAGAGGTCAGGGTGCCATCAGCACAGAAAGCAAAGGCCACCGGGAGAGGATGGAGAAGAGGGGCAGGAGGTTGGGCAGAGATGGTAAAACAAATTGAGGTCCTTGGTTTGCTGTGTTTACCATGATATTTTTAATAATATATTTTATTGATTTTTGTAGAGAGGAAGGGAGAGAGATAGAGAGTTAGAAACATCGATGAGAATCATCGATCAGCTGTCTCTTGCACACCCCCTACTGGGGATGTGCCCACAAGCAAGGTACATGCCCTTGACCGGAATTGAACCCGGGACCCTTCAGTCCCCAAGCCAACGCTCTATCCATTGAGCCAAACCGGTTTCGGCTACCATGATATTTTTAAACAGAATATAAATAAATAAAGAGGTTCATTATAATAGGCCGGTAGTAATATAATAATTTCTTTTTTAAAAAATATATGGGTGTTAATGTTTTGGCCTCAAGGAGTGAGGACAGAATCTAACTCCGGGATTAAAAAATAAGTCAAGGAAGATGTCTGGCAGCAGAAAAACACTCTGAGAAGTGGAAAGTAATAAAGCAGCTATGGCGTTTGAAGATGAGGATTATTCCAAACCCAGAAAACTGGATGACTAACCATAGTTACGGGCTGAAAGCTCCATGGAAAAGGTCGGAGGGGGAAGCCAAGGGAAGAAGAAGAGACAGGAGAAAAATCAAGTGTCAGGATATAACAGATGTGGTGGTACGGATCAGAGGAGGGGAAGGAAGAGCAAGCCCCGATGGGAAGGAAGACAAATGGAAACTAAAACTGTTCTGGGAGGAACCCGGCTCTCAGATCTGCTTAAAATTTGAACAACACGAAGGAGAGAAAAAAAGCATCAGAGACATTTCACCAGTGAGTTGTTTCAAACCCTGAAGGAACGGATCATTTTAGTATTTACATCTTTCCAGCTAGAGAAAAAAGGAAGCATTTTCCATTCTTTCCGTTGACTCAACATAACACTCCCACAAAGATTAATCTCACTTATAAGAATTGGTGCAAAAGCCATAAAATATTAAATAACAGAATTCAGAAGTACATTCGATGACTAAGAGACCACAACTAAGTAAGCTTAATAATAGGATATTTATTAGTAAAATTCACATACTAATAGATTAAAGAGGGAAAAGCTTATTTGATGGCATCAGAAGGAGTATGGTGGAGGAGGATGAGGGAGGGAAGATGGGAGAGAGGGCCAAGAAGAATCCTTACAACAGCCTTGCTAAAATCATTATCATAATCCCCTATCCATAAAGAGAGGAAACTGAGACAAAGGAAAGTCAAACATCTTGCCCAAGATCAAGATCAACTAAGTAGTGAAATTATGATTTAAATTCAATCAGCATAACTTTAGCATTTATAATCTTTAGGAAAGTGGTTCTTATTTGGCATATGCCTAGTAAATATTACCTATAATAATAAAAATTGTCATATGTAAAGCACAACAAAAAAACATTCATAATGATAGCTCTAAGTCAATAGAAATGTTAAATGTGTTTACTATTCTTCATTGACTAAATGCATCCAAAAGTACATTTTAGAACAACTTCTATGAAAATCTGATTTTTCCATTTAATATCATTTGTACTTTCATTCTCTACTTCCTCAACCGCCACTCTATGATACTGTACATGACATCTTCTGATTGTCAGATTAATTTCGCATTTTGATTCGCACTCATTTGTAAACAACTTTTTTTTTTGCTTTCATTTCCAAAATATATGTGTACTGGTTCTCCTCTTCAACTGCTCTAATTCTTTTCCTTTCCTTTCCTTAAATTCTCTGCCTTCCTAGGTTCTAGCTTTGGTCTTTGCTCCTCCTCTAGCCCCCTCTGCATGTTTGCTCTGCATGATGTCACCAACTCCTCCGGATTCAGTCCCAAACCTAAACTCTAGCTCTGCTCCCTGCTATCAGCCTCACAACGAAACATCCACCTGCCTTCTGGGCGTCTCCACCTGTTTATGCCATAGACATCGCCACCTAAAAATATCTGAAGCCAAGCTCAGTTTCACTAATGCCAGATAAATGGGGTAATATTATTGTATATAGTCATACCCTTTTTCAAAATGTTTGCCTGGTTTTCTAAGTCAGCTATTTCAATCTTGACATTTTCTTTCATCAAAAGCTCTCTTTTCTTTGTTATTTCATATTCATTATTGAAGTCCGTAATTCCCTTAATAAATTTTTCCTCCTCTTCTATAATTTTTTTCTTAGTAGCCTCCTGAGAAGCAGAAACAAAAGATCAAATACAAGAATTAATTGCAAAAATATTTTTATTTTATGATTTGAAATGCAATCATTTGAAGTTATTAACAACAAAATATAACATTATACTTCTTGGTATTGTCACAAAAGTGCTTTACTTCTTTGGTGATATTCATAAGAAGTTAAAGCTATTATGTAATAATAGCCAACTATTTTCACATGAAAGATTTATTGTTAATGTTTTGGGAAAAATTATTGATGTAGAAACTCTATCACTCATCATTATATATGTGTTTGTTTCTAAATTAAAGTTATAATCATATATTCCATTTTGTCACCGCACTATAAATTTGGTAGTAAAATAATTAAATGACCAAACTTGAAAATAAAAATCTATATGCAAAGAAATTACTGCCTTATAAAAAAAACAGAGAAACAAACAAGGAAATCCAAGGAAACCTTTTAAAATGTATACAATGAAAGCAAAATGATATGTTCATTTCTAATTCATCTCTAAATAATAGTTTACATTTTTATGAATTATCAACATGCAGTAGAAATAAGAATTTCCAAAAACTTTGGACAATGCTAGAACCTAAACTTTTGATACAGCTAGAAACCAAACATTACTACATTTTTCTTTTCTTTTTTTCTAGGAAATGTCAACTGATTACAAGCTACATTTGGAAACTGGCCATGCCATTCATAAACCACTGGTCGTTGATTCTGTTCACTTTAGATATATATTTTTAATATTTTACAATGTATTTTCTTTGAAATGTCAATTAATTACAAGTTATGTTCCTTAACTGCCCCTGTCACATAAAACTGCTGTGCCTGTTGGCTCTGACTTATGATAAAAAAATAAACAAAACCCATCTTTTCACCCACATCCATAAATATGCCTACACTGCAAGTCTCTCTGCTTTTCGGAAGCCTTAAAATCAATGTTTAGAAGCCTGAGCAATTCAAATCAGTTTCCCTGCTTCTTTGATGCTATTATAATTACAAATAATTTGCATATTGTATCCTTGCCAATAAATACTCTTTCAACCTATATTACTCTACCAACTGTTTTTAAATAGCACTTAATTCTTTTCTGAATCTGACAGGACTATCTGCCAACGTGCATGTGGGTAATTTTCTGAAAGTACACCTAAGTGTATTCAAGTACTTTAGACACAGTTAGTGAAGTAGATTTCTCTAAATGGCTGGAGACTTACAAAGGTTTGGAGAAGCATACTCCTTTGGTTTATAATTTCACTGCACTGTCTTTCTAAGGCATTTTCATGAGTTTTCAAAAGCTGTAAGAGGGAGGATTTTTCACAAAACTGCTGAACCTTAAAGAAAAAGAAAAAATCAGAAATCCAAATGAACCAATGATACATTTTAGGGTACCCTTAGTTAATAAAACAACTCTGCATAGTATAAAACATGCTCTGTACTATCTTCAAAGACAAATTATAATTCACCTTAAACACCTTACTTAATATGCACTATCTTATAATATTTTACAAGTGTTTTGTAATTATGGTATTTATAATCTCCTCCCCCAATAAACTATAGACTCCTCATAAGCAGATCATCTGTTTTCTTTTTCCTTCCCAATATCTAGCGCATTTTTTCACTACACACATGGAAATCTGTTTCAAGACAGCCTTAAAAAGAGAATAAGTTTCAGTTCTCATCACTCATAAGGAAGTTATGGATGAATAAATCATAGAAACAATATGACTAATAAAATAACGAGATAAAAGCTACAAACCATAAGCAAAAACTGAATCCCATGACAATAGTTATATATTAAATAAAACGTAAATTTGCTAAAATTTTCAAGTGGGTTTTGAGAACTTATTTTTTATGTTAGTACCTCAACTGATTCCAAACTAGCAAGAGATATAGTAAACATTAATATTAGACATGTAACTGTTATTTTATTTGGGCCATAAAAAAATAGAGACCATGTATGTTGAAATAAATGTCAGAAGGCTGTGATATATAAAAGCTAAAAATGATGCTGGACTGGAAATGCCCTTTCCACTGTGTTCAGTACTGGTCCTCCCTCATAAGAAAGTATTACTCCTAGTTTTGGGCTATTCCTATCTCCACAGGGGAAAAAAAAAATTGATTTAAATTACAGAAAGCAAGATTTATGTTAGCTGTAAGACAGGCTGTGAGAGACAGGCTGTGAAATCTCTGCCCTAGAAGATATTGAATAGTAAAGAGCTTAGAAAGAGGCCAATCCAGAGGCAATGGCAATGATGTGGCTCAAAAGTCTTACAAATACTGGCATTTTAAAAAGCAGCACAAATTAAACAGAAGATGTGATCTCACACCTATATTACCACAGCACATCTGCCCACACCTTCAGTGCCTGGTGCTGTTCTCATCACCTCTGTCTTAAGAAACACATCAATAGAGCAATGGTTCCCAATCTGGGGCACAGGCACACTGGGGGGCAATTTGATTTTTAAGGGGGGGGGGGGCGCTATTTGAGTTCTTAACAGTGAATTTTTTGCACTTCTTATGGTTCTAGGGGCCTCGTATACACTATATAAATGTGTATATAAATTGTGACATATTTATGCATTTCAGTTCTCTATTATATGTTTTGTACTTTATTTCCTATTTTTCTTTGTTTGTTTGTTTCTGTCATCACAACTGACTTCTTATTCTTGTGTTTGAAAACCAGATTGACTGATATGTAAAATTTAGGTAAATATTCCTGTACATATTGATGGGATCCCAAGATGAGGTAGGTCATTTCACCAGAACACATCATCCTCGGAAAACTCGACCTCTCTTTTGTTGCCACAGTGATGGGTGGAGATCAGAATTGGGAAGATAGCAGAAGAGATGTGAAATCATGACTTCAATATTGTTGAAGTTACTGGCTCTATTTCCTAAGTTATGCAGGGACCCCCAGGGCTACAGACAACAGAGAGAAAAGGGTGGAAGCCCTCGCAGCAGTAACACAAATCACTTTCCTCCTCACTCTCTTTTCTATGACTACAAATGAAGAAAAGGATTTGCATGCAGCTTTAAAGTCATATTCTAGAATGAAATAGCCAAGCTTTGTCAGAAAATATTGCTGTTATGGAAAATTTTCATTTATAGCAGTGCCAACACTGATTAATTCTGCTTCTCTCAGAAAAAAAAAAAAAAAAAAAAAAAAAAAGTCTTTTTTTTTTTTTTTTTCCTTTCCCTATTTTATTCCTCTTGGGATAATTGATTTTCGACAGAATTTAGTTTTCCCATTGAGCTGACTTGCCTGGCCCACTGGGTCAGTTTCAGCATAGCCACGACTGGTGACTTCACTCTGGCTGCCTTAGCTATTTTTCTACTACAGGAACTTGAAAATCGGAAGTGACTGAGGTTTTAAATTAATGCTTGTGTCCAAGTAAGCAAAGCACTGAGCTACTTTTTGTTGTGTTACTGTTTGAAATAATCTCAGCCTTTAGACACTGAAATTTTGCTGATTAAAAACTCTGCAATGTAGATAGCAGGCAACTTTACGTAAGACAACAGAGAGATCTATGCAGATTTCATATTTGTAAGATCATAGCAATTGGGGGGAAATGTGTTTGTTATCGCTAGGACAAAAGACATTTTAAACACTAGAGTACATCAATGAATAAAGTACATTTCTTCACCACAGATGCAATGCCTAATGTATAAGTCACTATGACACAGTAATCCTAGTATGGTAAGGAAAGTTCAATATTAGCAAATAGTTATCCTTACTTCTTATGCCCTTGTCCAATCTTATCTTCAACCCAATTCCTCAATCCCTTCTCTCCAGCCATACGGTCCTTGTTATTTCTAGGACATTCTAGGAATACTGCCCCAGGGCCTTTGCACTGGCTGCTCTCTGCCTAGAAATCCCTTTTCCCAGCCTCTTGGTGGCTGTTTGTCCTAGAAGTTCTTGCTAATGCGATATGGCAAGAAAAAAGAATAAGAAATATAATTATCCAAAGAGCTGACACACAATTCTCTCTCTTGTTTGTTTGGGCAAATGTCATTATTATATACCTAATAAATTTAACAAAATCTACTGAGAAACTGTTAAAAATAACAAAATAAACAACAAAAACTAAGGACTGTATCTTTTCTAGTTACCAACACTAGACAAAAGCATGAAAAAGATCCCATTCACAACAGCAAAAATAAAATAAAACACAAAAACTTAACAAGAAATAGAGGTGGAGAAGAGCTCATGATAGAGAAAAATACCATTTCAGAGTAACAATCTGATCTATTTCCTACTGTGGTGGTCATGTATTTCCCGTTCCTTCCTCTTTTCTATCTTCTCATGACTATGAATATTGAAGCAAATTAAGACAATAAAAATTCATTCCCATCTTTTGACATGTGGGTTTTCTTTCTCATATAACTGTACATTGCCTATCACTGACAGGAGAGATGAACTATGTCTAAAGCCATGTAACTAGCCTGAATCAAAGAAGTTGCGGTAGGCGGCCTTTCAACTTATCTGAAATATTGTTCAGGCAAAACAATTCATAGACCTCGTAAGAACCAAGGGTTATGTGAGAAATTCCAGCAACGTGAAGATCGCAGGCACAGCTATGTGTACCCAGTTTGCCCTTGACCTTTTCATTCATCTTTTCTGAATCCATCTGGTATTCCAAGGTCCATTGCCAACCTAAATCCACCCTTGTCAAAATAACCCTCATTCTGCAAAAATGACTCTCCCCTTTTCCTCAAATAAAACTCCCATTCCCAGAGAACTGCTGATTAAGGAAAGAATAATAAAGCAAAAGTATTATTTTGTTTTGTTTTTAATTTATCTTTATTGTTGAAAGTATTTCTTTCCCCATTGACCCCCTACACCCACCTGCCTCTCCCAGGCCTTCACCACTCTACTGTCTCCATGGGCTATGCAATATGCACATAAATTACCCAGATAGTGTCTCCTGCTCCTGAATGATGCTCCTTAAGCTGACTCTTATTAGGAAGATACTTTTAAATAAGGTGACTTCTATGTCATTTGACAGCTCAGGAGGTAGCATCTAACTTACCTATCATTACAGCTTCCTATTCTGTCACGATAGAAAAAAGTAGAAAGCTTACTGTAGTGATTTTTCAAGTACTGCTTTTAACAGGACAACAAAATGCCACAGATTCCTTAAAATATGCAATTCCTCTTCGTTATAAGAAAATGTGCCACATGAGCAAGAAATCATACCTCAGTCAAGTACTAGTATACTGCAAGAATACCAGAAATGGGGCCGAAACCGGTTTGGCTCAATGGATAGAGCGTCGGCTTGGGGACTGAAGGGACCTGGGTTCGATTCCGGTCAGGGGCATGTACCTTGGTTGCGGGCATATCCCCATTAGGGGGTGTGCAAGAGGCAGCTGATCGATGACTCTCTCTCATCGGTGTTTCTAGCTCTCTGTCTCTCTCCTTTCCTCTCTGTACAAAATCAATAAAATATATATAAAAAAAGAAAAGAAAAAAAAAAAAAGAATACCAGAAATGGGGTTGGAGACCTTAAACAGCATTAAATGTAAGCAGGATATAAAGTTTTCTTTGATTAAACTTAAATAATAAACACCTCAATTCTAAGACTCCATTTCAATAGTATAAATGATAATCATTTGTGATTTTGCTCTTTCCCTAATTAGGTAATAGAGTACTAATGGGTATGACATTGCCTGCTGCTCTGAAAAGGCTCTTAACTTTTATCAATTAAAGAAAAGGGATGTGTACATTTTTAAGTAAGGCAGTAAAAGAAGGCACCTTGAGTTACTTGTTTGTTTCAATATAATTTTACTTTAAAGATTCATAACATTTAAAAAATATATGTTTTTGATTTCAGAGAAAGGAAGGGAGAAGATAGAGAGAAACATCAATGATGAGAGAGAATCACTGATCAGCTGCCTTATACACAATCAAGCCTGTAACCCAGGCATGTGTCCCGACCGAGTCGAACCCATGACCTCTTGTTTTATAGGTCGACACTCAAACACTGAGCCAGGCTAAGAGGTCATGATATGTTATTACTGTTAAGATGTCTACTGCAATAAGTTAAAAATGGGCAAAGAAAAAACAGACAAAATCACTTCTGACTTTCCTCCATTTCCTCCCTCTTCAGAATGGATGGTGCTATGTTAGGTTTGATATAACGTATTGATAAAGATTGAGGATACACTATTTTAACGATACACTATTTTTTAAAACAACAAATTCTTAAAGGTGCTTAAGAGAAACTACAAATATTTTGAGATTCCTTCATTTTGATTCGCTCTGTCATCAGTGCTAGAAACACTCTCCAAAGCTCTAGGAATACTGGCAAGCATTGGTGCAAGTCCAAGGCCTGCTCCTGTCTCCCGGTTTGCATATTACCAGTCCTAACCAGGCGTACCATGGACGTCCAATTGGCAATATACTCACACCGTATAATATAGGACTTTTGCAACCACATATTTTAAAGAATTCACTGAGCCCCGAAAGGCAGATGCTATCATTCAAGTTCTAATTACATGCTACCTGGGTTTTACAGAACAAAAGAAAAGTGAATATTGTACTTCCTAAACACATTTTTTGACCATGAGCGACTTCTAAAATAAATGCTCAAAAAATGTTCTGAACGTATCCCTGTACAAATAACTCAAGCACTGGCCTGTTCAAATTATGTTCTAGCTTCTCTTTATGCTGCTTCTACTTGACAAATGGATCAATAAATGCCAAGTCAAATATGTAAGTAAATATATTTTCATTGTTATTGGCAGACATATAATTAACTCTGCGAATAAAAGAAACAAGAAATCAATTTATGATTACTTCTACAGCTCTTCCCATTAGTCATTTACATTGTAATTGTGCTTCCACTTTTAAAACCTTCATACACACATACCATTTTGACTGTATTATAAATCAAATTATTTAAATTACAAATTATTATTATATGAACTGTGACTCTCATATGTTAATTTTATTAGTAGGCTACAATTGTATTAGTACCCATATATATGAGCTCGTTAAAAAGCAATGCACATTTATAAGACTATATTAATTAGTAATTTCAGCAAATGTTTTAACAATGTTAGGGTTTTGCTCTCTCTTATCTCAAGTATAAGTACTTGAGTCATCATTTTTTACGTATGTGTATATATCAATAAGCTACATTTCTATTTTCCAGCAAAACAGCCTGCTAACAAAGAGTAAACCTAATTTTTTTCAAAGAAAAATTCAGAGTAAATCTTTTTTTTTTTTTTTTAAACATTTGATTTGCTGTCAGGTCAATATCTTCATGAATCCTGGAAAAATACATTTTGTATAAAAACTTACACAACTGACCTTTTAAAAATATTCTCCGAAACTCGCTGCAAAAGCTTCAGATACATTATTATATATGAAAAAAGAAACTTAAGATGAGTTCAAGAAATCTGTTTTAATACAATATGTTGTTGTACTTCCATATGGTAGTTTGTGTTTAAGGTATATGCCACAGACAAGTCATTAAACCTCTTGGTTTCCTCCCCTGGAAAGAGGGATTAAGGATGGATGGTACCACCACGTGATTCTGCCAGGATTAACAGAGTGAATGCAGGTGCAGCCTATGGAACAAGGCCAGCATACAGGAAGTGCTCAATAAGTGCCAGCTATGCTTTACCTAACTGTATATGTTTTGCCTATCGCTTCTAATATCGATAGCTTCTAGTTGCCAGTCCCGAAAGTATCTTCATCCTTTTTAAAGAAAAAGAAAGCTACATCATGACATTGTGAACGCTTTGCCCGTTCCCTTCGTTTTCAGCACTGCTATTACCAGCTAGTTTATCCGCTGAAGTCATTCAGAACTTGAAACATTCCCAGGCAATGAAGAACGAGCTACCCTGCCTCCCAGCCTGCCTCCTCCTGGAAGGGCAGCTAGTTCAATAGGAAAATCACCTTCAGAAAGTCAAGTTCAAACACCTTTCCAAGTGACAAGGGGGCCTGCGCTCCATGCCAATACCTTAGATTCCAACTTGATCTTCTCTTCGTTCAGCTCCTCGGCCGCTTTCCTCAGGTTGTCTCGGCATCTGCTGATCTCTGAGCGGACTGTCAGACAAAGGGCCCGCTCAGCACCAGCCTGTGGGCCCATCCCAGGACCCTCAGCGGCCCTTCCCTCCCTGGGGCAGGGGGCCCTCCAGCTGCCCTGGCCGCTGCTGGGGGGGGGAGGGGGGGCTGCTCTGGCCGCTGCTGGGGGGGAGGGGGGGCTGCCCTGGCCACTGCTGGGGGGGGAGGGGGGGCTGCCCTGGCCGCTGCTGGGGGTGTGGAGGCTGCCCTGGCCACTGCTGGGGGGGGAGGGGGGGCTGCCCTGGCCGCTGCTGGGGGGGAGGGGGGGCTGCTCTGGCCGCTGCTGGGGGGAGGGGGGGCTGCCCTGGCCGCTGCTGGGGGGGGAGGGGGGGCTGCTCTGGCCGCTGCTGGGGGTGTGGGGGCTGCTCTGGCCGCTGCTCCGGGGCCTCCTCCCGCCCCCACCCTCCGAGGGAGAGGACAGAGGCCCCGGACCTTCCCGCATCAGGCGGCGGCCCTCCTGCGCGCGGTGCTCGGAGGAGAGGATCTGCTGGAACAAGAACTCCAGGCTCATCGCGGTTCTGCTCCGGGTCCTGGTGCTGCCCTTTATTTTACAGCCGCGTCTGAGGACCCTGGAAGCGCAACGGGGAAGGATTATTCTAGGGCTGTGACCCCATCTCCCGCACCAATGACCAGGCCACACAGGCCCGGACCCGGCAGCGCCCCAGGGCCCCAGCGCCAGGCCTTGTCCCCTTGGCTCCCATCCACAAGCCCGGTCCCCTCCTTCCTCCTCCTCCCGCGGTGACAGGGCCTCCAGCTCCTCCTCCCGGGCCCAGGCCCGCTTCCCGCCATCCCCGCAGCAGCCGCTCCTGCCCTCAGCCTGCCCCTCCCGGCCCAGGTTTTCTGTTTGTTTGTTTCGTATTTTAATATGTTTGTATCTATATCAGAGAGGACGGGAGAATAAGAGACAAAAACATCAGTGATGAGAGAGAATCAGGGATCGGCTGCCTCCCGCACGCCCCCCCCCCCCCCCCCCCCCCCCCCCCATGGGGATCCAGCCCGCAACCCAGGCCTGTGCCCTTGACCCGGAAGGAATCCAACCGTGACCTCCTGGTTCAGAGGTCAGAGCTCACCCACGGGCCGCACCGCGGGGCCAGGCCCTCTCTTTGGAGAGAAAAGGCCCTCAGAGGGCTGGGTTTCTGGTTTCTCTGGGACCCCGGACCGGCTGAGGATGCCGGGCCCGGGCGGGACGGGAACTACGGCGGCTGCGCCGGGCCAGTCCGCGTTCAGCTGTTTTGCTGCACCACGTGGCCCCGGAGGCCTGGGCCTGACTTGGAATCAGCAGGATCTGATCTCCAACGATGCGCAAGTTCCCGGTGTTGTATCAAGTGCAGAGCCCCCGCGGTGCTAAATATAAACTTTTGCAAAGTCTTGTCCTTCGTGGCAGGGACTGCTCTCCCTGCACGAGGTCTGACACTCCGCCTTAATCATCCCCCCGGTAATCAGGGCACGGCTCTGTGGCCTGCTTGGAAATTAATCATTGCCTTTCGCAATCAAGCCGCCGTGGTATTAGCGTCGGAATATCGGAGCCGTCTGTGTCAGAGTCCAAAGTGGTTGCTAATCAAAGCTTACACGTGAAAGGCACCTTTGGGACTTGTGCATGGGATTTCTGTTTAATTAAAAAAAAAAAAATGAAGTACCGGTAATTGTCATTTGAGTGGGTCGGACTAGTGCGATGACAAGAAACATTTGACTTTATTCCTGATGGCTAAACTTGAGAAAGTAATTTCCAGTTAGAATGGATTTAGAATTAGGTAAGAGAAGATAAACGTAATTTCTGGCACATCGTCTGTATAATAGACTTAATATTTCATGAACGCTGTAGTATAGGCCCTTAGACATTTTATTTTATTTTTTTATTTTTATTTATTCATTTTTTTAAAATATATTTTATTGATTTTGTACAGAGAGGAAGGGAGAGAGATAGAGAGTTAGAAACATCGATGAGAGTCATCTATCAGCTGCCTCTTGCACACCCCCTACTGGGGATATGCCCGCAACCAAGGTACATGCCCTTGACCGGAATCGAACTCGGGACTCTTCAGTCCCCAAGCCGACGCTCTATCCATTGAGCCAAACCGGTCTCGGCCCCTTAGATATTTTAACATGTTCCACATTCCCACCTTAACTTCCATCAAGCCATGTGTGCAAAAAACAAAACAAAAACAAAAACACAACAACTTAATTTTAAACTTTATTATGAAAGAATACATACTGAAAAGTGTAATAAAGTAGAAAAGAATTGTCCACCAAAATCATTCAGAAGGAAATTTTTATCACGTTTTGGTTGTTACCTTCTAGGACCTAGAATCTAGGTAATCTTCCTCGCCTTGCATTTTTCCTTTATAAACTTGAAAAAAAATTGTAAGTAATAATAATTTTTTTTTAATTGAATAAATTTGCCAGGCATTATTCTGGGCATTCTCTGTGTTTAGGAAACAGGCACTACACAAAGTATCTTGCCGAATTTGTGTATCTAGTACATGGCAGAGCAATCTCTGAAACCGAGAAATCTGAAGAGGCCATGGATTTAAATTTGGATTCTGCTCTTTTCCCCTCCTATTATAAGCATTTTAGCATTTCATTGAAAACCCTTCATAAATACATTTTTTACAACTTCCAAATCCTCCATCCTGTAGAAGGTGAAATTGTAGTTTGAACCATTTTCTTTGAGCGCTCATTTAGAGGCTTATGAACTATGCCATAGCGACCATCAAAGGAGAGAGGGCTTCCGGAAGACAAATTATATTACTAATTAATATCGCTCCTTTCAGAATTATTTCCCATGGACTTACTCAGGGAGCATCCTCATAAGGGGGCCGGTTTTCAAAAGCAGGCTGCTCTTTAACATTCTAATTTTATTAGTTACATTCACACTCGCATTTATTATTTAGCATGCTCTTTCTGTGCTAAATCTTGGCAGAGTGGAATTTGGGCAGCCTTCAGGGAGCCCCGGTGCCTCACTCACCAGCAGTTCAGAACAGAGAGCTGCTGGAAATTCTGTGAAGGAGCAGGAGAGAAATGGCTTCTCTATCTTCTGCAGTTTTCTTCCAATCCCAGAATATTTTGGTGCTTTTAAACCCAAGTTTGAGTCTTTTTAGAGAAACCCCACCTATAGATATTAGCAGGGTGCCTTATTTTATTTCTTTTTTTAAAATATATTTTATTGATTTTTTTACAGAGAGGAAGGGAGAGGGATAGAGAGTTAGAAATATCGATGAGAGAGAAACATTGATCAGCTGCTTCCTGCACACCCCACAGTGGGGATGTGCCTGCAACTAAGGTACATGCCCCCGACTGGAATTGAACCTGGGACCCTTCAGTCTGCAGGCTGATGCTCTATCCACTGAGCCAAACTGGTTTTGGCTTATTTTATTTTTTAAAGCAAACATAATTATGTAAGCCCACCATCAAATTTTAAAAATGCGCCATAATAATGAGTAAATGTAACATAGAAAGATATTAAAATACTGCTATATATCTAGCTTTTTCATCTATCTTTTCTATAGGGTTAAGATATATTTTCCTTATACATATACATAAGAGTAGCAATACTCTGACGACACGGTAAAACTAGGGCACACTATTTTCTGAAATGTATGATATGGGTCTAAAAAAAGGAAAGGAACCATTCAGCAACTGTTTAATGAGTCTTTGCTATTTATTCAACATTCATTCAACAAATATTATTGAGCATCTCCTATGTGCCATATTAGAGAAACCACAACAGGATTTAATAAAAACAGAAGTACATAAAAAAGTATTTTTCTTCCCCCCGGATATTTCGAACCTCATTGGAGAATTATTATATTTTTCAGCATTTTGGCAGCAGTATAAACAACTGCTTTCAGATGTTTCAACAGATGTTCTTTAGAAAGAAAGCCAATTATTTGCATTATGATGCCCACATATGATTCTCAGCTCCAAACTCTCCATCTGTACATGTTTCATTAAATTTCATACCTATGGAGTGTAACAGTGGAGATCCCTCATTGTCTCTCAACCTGACACTTTTGTGCAGAATAACACCAGCACCCGGGTTGTCGAGCCATCGATAATTGCTTTGCTAGAAGGCCTTATATAAAACTGTATTGCTCTTGCGGTTTAAGGAATGCATTGCCTCTCCTTTCTTAGATTGATGACTTCCCTAAATTCTAAAGCAGGCTTGCAAATACCCACTAGCCCAGGGCACATATATTGCAATGAAAAGAAGAAAAAGTAATTCATTTGTCTTGTGTTTTTCTTACGGCATCTGCCAAAAAGGAGAAAAAACGTGGGTTCAACCAAGTTTATCCACCATTTGTTGAGCAGCTACTAAGTGTAAGACCTTTGTTAGGTACTGGGGTGGGGGAGAGGGGGAGATACAAAGCTAAAAGGGACAGGCCCTGCCCGGTTGGAAGGTCATAACCTATCAGGAGGGACGGAACATAGACAAATAACTCCTAGGCAGGATTTGGGTAAGAGTCTCAGCAGGGATGGTTCTTCCGGCCTTCTGAGGGAGGATATGCGCCTTGCCTCTTTCTAGCTCTGGTCGTTGCTGGTGTCTTTGGTATTCTTTGGCCGGTAGATGCATCAACTCCAGTCTCTGCCTCCATTGTCCCTTGGAGTTCTCCCTGTGTGACTCTGCCTCTTTGTCTCTCATCCTCTCCTTATAAGGACACCAATTATACTGGACAAAGGGCTCATCCTAACCCAGTAATAACTTAACTATATATGTCTGTCACTAACTACATCTGTTTCAACTCAGGCCACATTCTGAGATCCTGGGGATTAGGACTTCTACGTATCTTTTATATATATATATATATATATTGATTTCAGAGAGCAAGGGAGAGGGTTAGAGAGATAGAAACATCAATGATGAGAGAGAATCATTGATAGGTTGCCTCCTGCATGCCCCCTACTGGGGATCAAGTCTGCAACACAGGCATGTGCCCTTGACTGGAATGGAACCTGGGATCCTTCAGTCCGCAGGCCAACGCTCTATCCACTGAGCCAAACCAGCTAGGGCACTACATATCTTTTTGGGGATACCATTCAACTCAACCCATAGAAGAGATCTTAAAAGTTAATTTGTGGGAAATAGTTATGGTTTTTTTTTTTTTAATGTTAATGACTGATTTGTTTCTATTATACTCCATCATTTTTCGTCATGTAATGGACTTCAGAGAACATCTTGACAGTATTTTTATTTTACAGATGTTAACACCAATGCGGTTGAGGTTGATGGATTTCCCCAATATTGCGCAGGCCATTAAAGCCACAGCTAGTCTAGAAACACCCTCCTAATGCCTCCTGCTCGAATGAAAGATCTTGTGTGTTTACCAGTGGCTTTTGACAACTTCAGTTAAAACAACTCCTCTTCTATCTCTTTGCTATACTGGAGTCTCGAGTAAGATTTTTCAGAAAGGGGCAATTCAGCTGCTACTGCAGGCTTCTTCCCCATTAAGGAGATTGGATAGATAGATAGATGGTGAACAGGTGGGTAGGTAGATAAACAGATAGTCAGAGAGAGAGAGAGACCAAGAAATGCATAGAAACAGAGAAAGCACGCAAGCATGTACAT